CCCAGGCCCGGGCCCGGGCGCTTCTGCCGGTGCCGTGCGCCCCCCGCCCGAGCGGGCCGCCCGCGCGCCGGGAGGCGGACGCCCCTCTGGGGGCAGGGGCCGGGCCCCACGCCCCCACCCCGCCTGCACCCGCGTCGGCGTCGGCCCGAGACGGACCCGGCCCGAGCCCAGCCCCTGCCCCGCTCTGCCCCCCACGGCGGCCGGGGAGCCACTGCGCGCCCACCCAGGGCCAGCGGCCGCCCAGACCGCCCGCTCCGCGGAGGCCGGCAGCCAGGCCGCGGGCCTCCGGGGCGGGCGGGCGGGCGGGCGGGCGGCCCGCGGCAGGTCCAGCGCCCCCGCCGCGGCCTCCCCGCCCCCGGGGGTGAACCTGGGCCGCGGGCCGAGCTCGCTCCTGCGCCCGGGCCCGCGGCCGGCCGCGACCCCCGCCCGGGCCCGGCCCCGCCGCAAGGTCACCGCGCGGCGCCTCCCGCGCGCCCGCGCTTCCTGCCGGCCCGCCCGGCCCGGGAACAAAGCGCGGCGCGGAGGAAATCCGGGCGCGGGCGGGACTCACCGGGCGCCGCGTCCGGGCGGGCGAGCGCGGGCCTAGCCGGGCCGCGGCCTCCGGCGCCCGCCGCTCCGCATCCCCGCGGCCCGGGCGGGCGGGTGGGGCTGGCGGCGGCGGGCGCGTGGGGCTGGCCGCGGGGCTGGCGGCTCCGCTCCGCCGCGCCGTGCGCCGTGCGCTGAGCCTGGGCCGCCGGCCTCGAGCTGCCGCTCCCGGGCCCGCCCTCTCCCCGCCCCGCGCGCCCCGCCCGCCGCCCACATCCGCCTCCGCCGCCCCGGGCGCCCCGCGCCCGCCCGCCCGCCCGCCCGCCCGGGCAGCGCCAGAGGGCGCGGGCCGCCGGCCGGGAGCCCCGCGGGGGGCGCCGCCACCGCCCCGCGCGCCCAGCCTCGCGCCCGGGGCTGGGGCGTCGGACCCTCAGAGCGGCCCGAGGGGTGCCCCTCCCGCCCCAGAGGCCCCTGCCGCCCCCGCCCCGCAGAGCCTGGAGGGCTGCCCCAGCGGGACCGGGCCGGCCGGGAGGGCCCAGGGCCCTGGCCGGGTGCTCAGGCGCTGGCAGGCCTGACCCGCGGGGCCCCCAGGAGCCCCCTGGTCTGGGGGAAGACGCTGAGCGCGGAGACGGCGGCCTTGTCGGGTGCCTTGGCCGGGCGCTGCCCGGAGCTGGGTGCAGGCCCCGGGGGAGCTGAGCGGGCGCAGATCCAGAGGGGCTGGATGGGCCCTGAGCACCCACTGTCCTCTCCACCGGCAGACCCCTAGGACCCTGCGGGACTCCCCTGCCGGACTCTGGTTTGAGCCAGAGTCCCCAGCAGCCACCCCACCCCCCAGGCCCGCGACCCGGCCTCCCTGGTGGCGCAGGGGTTGGTCTCCCACCATCGAGCTATCCCAGCCCCTGCGGCCTGAGTCCGACCCCGGCCAGGGCACTGACCCCTGTTCTGCTCCCCACTCTGTCCTCTCACCCCCGCGCCTCTGGCCTACACCCCAGCTCTTGTATGCATAAATAAATTTTTTTTTTAAAGCAAGAGTGTGACTTGCCTCCAGGGTGCTTGTGTATCGGGGCAGGCGTCCAGAGTCCAGCCGGGGGGGCCACAGCCCCCACTCTCAGGACAGCGTCTGCACCCCAAATCAGGGCTCTGGCCCTGCCGCCTGGGCCTGACCAAGAGGACACTCCCTTGGGAAGGACGCCCTGCTCAGGGCTCACGCAGCCCCTGGGGCTGGCCTCCCCCTGCGCACCTCTGCCCCTCACCTCCCAACGGCATGAGACCTGAAGGACAAATGAGGGGCGTGCGGTCTCACCAGACACCTGGCCTAAGCGACCTCCACAGACCCCCAAAGCCCATCCCTCACTCACCCAAAAACCATCCCCTGGGCCCCTGCAGGACTGTCTCCCAGGGGGGTGTCCACGCCCACTCCAGGCCTGCAGCGGAGGGCAAAGGAGGCAGAAGGGGCTGCTGGCAGCCAGTGGCCACGGGGGGCTTGGGCCAGCGGCCACCCTCAGGGCCAGAGCCAGAACGCCCGGGCTCACCCGCGCTGCTGGCCAGTCTCCAGGAGGCCCCCCGCCCGCTGAGCAGAGGTCTGTGCCCAGCACCCCAGCGCCCTCTGCCCGCCCAGTCCTGTGTGCAGGGCCCACCCAGGTCACTGGAGTATCCCTGTGGGCAGTGCCGGCCCCTCCTCCTGGACCTCCCTCTACACCCCTCCCTCCGTACAGAGGTGACCGGCTGCTGCCTGCCCTGCCACCCGCTGGAAGCCCTTGGGCCAGATGTTTCCAAAAGAACTGCTGTGCGGGCAGCCGGCCCTGCGGCCTTTCTGCAGCTGCCGGCCGAGGGGCAGGGCTCACTGGGCGCCCTCTGCTCAGCGGCAGCTGCAGGACCGTGGTCAGGCCAGATGGCTGCCTGGCTGCTGCACCCGCCACACCACTACCATGGCCTCCCCTTGTCCCTGTGCCCGACACCTCCCCTGCCAAAGAGGGTCTCACGGGCCACCTCAGGCTGCCCGGGACAGCCCCCTCCCGGGCGGTGGGGCCTAGCCCAGACCTTCTGCCCTGGGGCCTCTCCCACCGCCCCCTCCCACGGGACAGGCCTCCTCAGCCACTCCTTCCTGGGCTTGCCCTCCTTAGCCAGCTCCCGCCGTTCTCCTGGCCCCGCGGCCTGCATCAGGACCCCCAGGAACATGTCCCACCAGCCAGGGTCACCCCAGGGCCTCACTCCAGCCTGGTCGGGGAGCTGTCCGCCCAGAGCCTGGCCAGCTAGCGGCCCTCCCTACTCAGGGGCTGGTCCAGGGGAGGCCGTGCCCGGCCTCCAAGGAGAGTGGGGAGTCAGGCAGCCTGTGGCAGTCCAGGGGGTGGCATCCCATAGACACAGACCCCACACCCCCCCAGCTGGCCTCCCCGACCCCCTATGTACTGCCCAATCCTAGCACCAGGATGGTGGACACAGACGAATGGCCACGTGACATGGGCTGGAGGCGGGGAGGGAGCCCTTAAGTGGGGTGGTCAGGAGCAGAGAAGGGCTCTCTGGGAGGGACTCTGGGGTCTGGTACTGCCAGCCCCGTGACTAACCAACCTCTTTGCCAATGAGGTTGTTCAGACTCCAGGTCAAGGGTCATGCCCAAGGTCGGGAGGAATAGGGGGAGGGCAGTGACCTGCCCCCCCCAAACCCCAGGGAGCAGTGGGGGGCCCTGGTTTGAAATCCCCTGCTCTGGGTGGGGCTGGGACAAAGGGGATAATTATTTACATGGTGGGGGGAGCAGGCCCATCCGGAGGGCTCCCCAGTGTGCAGGGTCCGGGATTTGCTGCTCAGCTGCAGGCTCGGGAAGTAAAACGCAGCCGTCCGGGCAAATTTGAGCTTTGGCTACACGAGGAGCCACTCTTACTGCAAGGACGCAGCTCTCCTTCCCGACTCAGCCCCTGCTCTGGTGGGCCCAGGACCTCGGGCATCCGCACCCCTGCCCCGTTTTAACAGGATCCCCAGTCCCGCACTGTCCTGTCTGGCCACAGCTCTGTGGCTCCTGGGCACCGAGGAGCCCAGCTGGAGGGCGCCCCCGCCCCGTGCCCAGGGCCACCATCCCCCATGACCCGGGGACTCGGACACTCGGGACTCCAGGAGCAGCACAGGGCCCACTCTGTGGCCTGGGCCCTCATCTCCCTGTGGTACCCCCACCTGCTCCAGGGTAAGGGAACCAGGACTGAGGGATGTGTGAGCCATGTGTGAGCCGGAGCCGCAACCCGCTGGGCGGCCAGCAGGTCAGGCCCCGAGGACTCGCTCCACAGCTGGCCGGGCCCCGCCCCAGGCCCTTGCAGAACCACAGCCCTGCCTCCCCTCTTCCAGCAGAGCTAGGGGTGCCCCACGCCCCCTGCCCTGCCCCATCGGCCCCCTGGGCCTGGGGCTCCGGGGCTGGGCTGTCCAGTCCTCCCTCAGCACTCGAAGCCCTCTCTGAGCTCCGGGGTGCTTGGGCACGGCCCCTCACCCCACATCTGCCAGGGTGTGCCCAGTTCCTGAGCCCCACAGGGCACCCCAGGGCACCCGGGGGTCCCAGAAAACCTAGCTGGGGGTCCCTGAGCGCTGGGCCTCTGTTCCAGGCTGCAAGGCCGGGGTCTAGAGGTGTCGGGCGGGCGAGGGTCTCAGCTAAATTAGCAAATTCAAAATAAAGCTTCCGACGACGAAGGGCGGCCGCCCTTTCACGGTTCAGGGCACCCTCTCGCGCCCCTCCCCGCACCGGCGCGGGCGAGCCGCCCCGCGGAGCCCTGAGCGACCTGGGACGGGGTGCCCGGGCAGACGGAGCAGTCGGACCCCGGGGGGACCCCGACGCGCGCGGCAAGTATCGCGAGAGCCCCTCCCGCTGCGCCCTCCTGCCCACCCCGCGCCCGGGCAGGCGGCGCGCGGGCGGGCGGGCCGGGGGGGGGGGGGCCGGCAGGGGCGGCGGGGCGACCGCGGCGGTTCCGCCGCTCCGCTCCGGGAAGTCGCCGCGCCCGCCCCCTCCAGCCCCCGCCGGAGTTTCGCTCTCGCCGGGGCGGGGCGAGCGGCGGGCGGCGCCGGCCAAGTTGGAGCGCGCCCCGCCCGGCGCCCGCCCGGTCCCCGCGCCTCCCCGCCGGGGCGCGCTGCCCCGAGCTCCGCGCCGCCGGGGCGCACCGGGGCGGGCGCGCAGCGAGCGCGGCGGCGAGCGAGGAGCTCGGGCGGCGAGGTGAGCGCGGGGGGCGGCGGGGCGCGGGCCGGGCGGCGGGGGAGCGCCCACCGGGCGTCGGGGCGCGGCGCCGGCCGCCCGACAGTGAAGTTCGGGGCGCCCGGGCGGGAAGGCGCCGAGGAAGGGCGCGCGCCCGGCCGCGGGGCGGCCCCTCGGCCGCGGGACCCGCCCCCGAGCTGCCCGCGGCTCGCGGCCGGCGCTTCCTGCTGGGGCAGGTGCCGGGGCGGCGCGGCGCCGGGCGCGCTCACGGGCGTCCCGTTTGCGCCCAGGGGATGCCCGCGGCGGCGGCATGGAGTTCCCGGAGCACGGCGGGCGCCTGCTGGGCCGCCTGAGGCGGCAGCGCGAGCTGGGCTTCCTGTGCGACTGCACCGTGCTCGTGGGCGCCGCGCGCTTCCCGGCCCACCGCGCCGTGCTGGCCGCCTGCAGCGTCTACTTCCACCTCCTGTACCGGGACGCGCCCGCGGGCGGCGGCCACACGGTGCGGCTCAGCGGCGACATCGTCACGGCGCCCGCCTTCCGCCGCCTGCTGGACTTCATGTACGAGGGCCGCCTGGACCTGCGCAGCCTGCCCGTGGGCGACGTGCTGGCGGCCGCGCGCTACCTGCACATGAGCGAGGTGGTCAGGGTCTGCAAGGGCCGGCTCGGGGACAAGGACCCCGGGCTGCCCCGGCCCCCCGGCCCCGGCCCGGCGCCGCCCGCGCAGGCCCCGTGCCCACCGCCTGCCTGGACCCCTGACCTCTGCCCTGCTGCCGGGAAGGCCCAGCGCCCCCAGGCCGGGGTCCAGGCCACCCTCCCTCCAGGAGCACCGAAGCTTCCGCCGCAGCAGCCCCCCCAGTCAGACGGGGCCCTAGACCTGTCCCTGAAGCCTGGCCCCAGGCCCGACCCAGTCGGCCGGTCACCCTCCTGCAGCCAGACGCAGCAGGGGCCCCGGCCACTCGTGAAGAGCGAGCGGGACCCCAGGGCGGGCCCGGAGGACAGCGCCCCGCGGAGCCCCCTGCGGCCACCCTGTGATCCTGCCGCCCAGCGCCCGGCAGGGTGCCCAGAGCCGGCGCCGGCCAGCAGAGTGGGCACCGGGGCGCCGGTGCTGGACGCAGAGCCAGGGGCGAGGGCGGGCGCGCAGGGCCCCGGGGGGCCCCTCTGCCTCTGCCCGCTGTGCAGCAAGCTGTTCCCCAGCGCCCGGCTGCTGCAGCTGCACCTCAGCGCCCACTTCCGGGAGCGGGAGGGCACACGGGCCCCCCTCTCGCCCGCCGGCACCGTGCCCACCTGCCCGCTCTGCGGCAAGACCTTCTCCTGCACCTACACGCTGCGGCGGCACGAGCGCACGCACTCGGGGGAGAAGCCCTACGCGTGCGCCCGCTGCGGCAAGAGCTTCCAGTACGCCCACAACCTGAGCCGCCACGCCGTGGTGCACACACGGGAGAAGCCGCACGCCTGCCGCTGGTGCCCGCGCCGCTTCACACAGTCGGGGGACCTCTACCGCCACGTCCGCAAGTTCCACTGCGGGTTGGTCAGGGCCCTGCTGCTGTGACCCCGGCGGGGGACGCGCCAGGACGGAGGCGCTGCCGCCTCCCCCCGCCCCCCAGGCCAGGCCCCTCGCTGGGCCCCACCGCCGCGCAGTCTGGCTGGCGCGCCATGCTCGGTGAAGACTACGGGCACCCCCGGGGCCCCGGTGGGGTGCTGGGACAAAATGGCTCCTCCTGGGGGGTGGTGGCGAGAGGCCGCTGGCACCGCCAGCACAGCTGGCGCTGTAGGGGGGTGCCCGTCCCGCAGGCGGGCCTGGCAGCAGCCTCCACCGGGTGGCCAAGCTGCGGCGACTCAGGGCAGAGAAGGCGCTGGAAGGAGCCGCGGAGGCTCGAGCTTCCCGGGAGCCAGACGTCTGCCGTGGGCGATGGGCCGTGGCCTTCCCGCCAGCAGCGACCAGAGCCTGCGGCACCCCACAGGCACCGAGCACCCTGCGAGGCCGAGGGTCAGGGGCTGTACGCAGCTGCCCGCAGCGGGCCCCCGGGGTGAAGGTGCCCCCTACCGGTGGCATTGCCTGGGGCGGGGGGCTCGGGTCACGGCCCCACTGTAGTGGGGGGCCGCCTCAACCGCTGACCCAGAGCAGACCTGCTGCCCGCCGCAGGTGAAGGTGGGCGGCCCAGGAGTCCTCGGCAGCAGCCCCTGGACCCCTGGACTCCAGGTTGCGAGGGGCACCGTGCTGGGGATGCCCGGCCACGTCTAAGTTATTTCCTCTTCTCCTGCCAACACTTGACGTCATATTTATTTGTCCGTCTGGTCTGGAGTGAAGAGACCTGCGGCGGCCTTTGCTCTCCGGGCGCGGGCGGCCGGCCTGGGATGCCCGCCCAGACCCCGGGAGGCTGTGCTCCCGACCACGCGCACGCGTGTGTGTGTGTGTGTGTGTGTGTGTCCAGCCTGGTTTGCCCCAGGGCCCCCCCGGGGCAGATGCTGATCCCAGGGAGAAGCCCCGTCCGGGTACTAGACCCCTCGTGTCCCTGCAGAGACGCATCGGGTTTTTACCGTGAGCCACGCTGAGGGCTGTGCTGGGGCCGCCCGGCGGGGGGGGGGGTGGTGTACAAGGGAGGGGGTACGGGCAGGCTTGTGGGCCAGGCGTTGCTGCCAAGACACCTGGGCGTCCACCCTGGTCCTATTGGGAGCAGCAGCAAAGGTGGCCGCACTCCTTCCTGGCTGCGGGGGCACCCTGGGAGCCCCGTCCTGGGCACTGACCTGGGGGAGCAGAGCCCCAAGAGGCAGGTTTGGGGGAGGGAAGGCAGGCTGGATGGGGTCTGGATGGAGGACCCCTGATTCTGGGGTCCTGGGTCCTCTCTCCCACCCCTGCCCCAGAAGAAGCCCTGCCCCCGTGACCCCCACGCCCACCCTCCCTCACCCCTGCATACCACCTTTGTGCCTGCATCCCTCAGGGTCACTGGTGGACCTAGGTGGGGACAGGACTTGGGGTATTCCACCTGGCCCTGAGACCATCTGGGGTCCTGTACCCCACTGGGCTGGGGGATCTGCTCCTGGGAGCTCCCTGAGGCTCCCTGGCCGCTGGTGGACTGGGGCAGGGTCCCGTGTTTGCCCTAAGCTGGCCCTGGCCAGCACTGGGGGCTCCCAGAGGCCATGCTCAACAGTGGCTCTGGGCCGTCCTTTGAGGCCTTCCCAGCCCGGACCCCCAAGGCAAGCCCTTGCTTGTGGGGTTTGCAGAGTGCAGCCCCTGGGGGAGGCTTCTGGGGAGCCCCAGCTCTGCCAAGCTGTGCTCACACTCAGCTCCCTGCGGCACTGAAGCCATCAGCCTCCTGTACCCCCACCCTCCTGAGGCACAGAAGGGCCTAGGGCTGGCCCAGGGTCCTGAAGTGGCAGGCCCAGGGCCTGCCTTCCACAAGCCGCCAGCCTGGTGCTTGCCCCGTCCCCTGAGGCCCCAGGAGGGCTGGCGGAGGGTAGTCCAGAAGGGTCCCCGAAGGCCCGGGAGCCTCAGGGCGGCTGGAGATGGGCCCCGGGGAGGGGCGGCAGGTGGGAGGTCAGGTGTCAGCAGGGCAGAGTGCGAGGCTGAGGGGCCCTGGGGGAGTCATGACTAAGCAGAGAATGGGTGCCCTCGGGCTCCCAGCTGCCCGCCCCTCACACCCAGTGTCACCCGTCCCTGAGCTCAGGGGCACCACGCCCTCCCTGGTGGGTTTCTTCCTGTGGACATCCCAAGGGTTCTCAGATGGACACCCTTGCAGGTGAGGCTGCAGCTGGACCTGGGGATGGGGGGGGGCAAGGGGTGCGGGTCTCCGCCCGCCAGCATCCGCCTTGGCCCCAGCACCTCCCTCCTAAAAGCCCAGGCGGTTCCTTGTCATGGTCATGGGGCCCGACCCCCCCCCACCTCCCTTGCTCTCCGTCCCCACGCGGCTCCACCCAGTCACCTGCTGCGGCACCTCCATCACCCCCATCACCCCCCACCCCCGCTCTCCCACCCCCCCCACCCCAGCTCCACCACCTGTGTCACCGGCTCCATCACCCCCAGCTCCTCCGCCCGCATCACCCCAGCTCCAGCTCCACCACCTTCACCCCCAGCTCCTCCACTGCCCCTCGTCCCCGCCAATGTCCATCTCCACCCCCATCTTCACCACCATGACCCTCACGGCAGGTTCCCCAGACACCGACCCCTGAATCTCATCTGTCCCGGGAGGACCGCCGTTTGCTGTCAGGTGAGGAGTGCGGGGGAGGGGTCCACTCCTCGGGGCTCCCCCCCGCCCCCGTTCCTGTCTGGCCAAGGGTGTCTCCTTGGTGCTGTGGCCCTTTGTCCTCCCCCCGCCCCCAGCAGGAGAAAAGGGTCTGTGCCCTCCGGCCATGCCCGCCCACCTGTCAGTCGGTGCCAGGGAGGACGCCTTGCTTTGCCACAGGGGAGGGGGCTACGGGCCCCACCCCACTTGCCCTGTCCCCCGGCCACTGCCTTTGCTCTGCAGGCAGGGATGGGGGCAGCGGCAGCAGGGGGCACAGGGCAGTGCTGCTGCGGCCATGCCCACCACTCTGCAGCTGCGCTGGGCGGAGGCGCTGGGATGCGGGCGGCCATGGCAGGGGGCCGCCAGAGTGAGGGGCACCAGGGCGGGGGGCAGTGAGTGGTACCAGGCTGAGGGGGTCACCAGGCAGAGGTTTTGGCAGCAGAGTGGGCACCTGCTGGGGGCGCGGGCTGCGGTGGGGCTGGGGTGACAGCATCAGTCCCCGGGAGCCCCTACCTCCTCGTCCTGCTCCTGCCTGGACTCCCACAGGGCGTGAGGGGGCAGCAGCCGAGGGGAGCCCACACAGCTGGAGAAGGCGGTCCCCCAAGGCGCAACATGGTGTCCAGGTCGCTGCAGGCTCCAGCCCGCCGGAGCGGTCAGTGGATCTGGGGGCCCAGGAGCCAGGTTGAGGCTCTGCGCGAGCGGGTGTCAAATCTGCAATGGGCCCCGAGGTGGCCTGCACCGAGACCGGGATGCATGGAGTGCGTGTGCGGCAGCAATGCGGTGGGGCTTACACCATGGAGGTCCAGCCCCAGGCTCTGGAGGCAGGAGCCCGGGGTTGAAGGGGACTCTCGACCACCCCCAAGGTGGCCTGCTGTCCCCTTGGGGCGTCCGGCGTGAGCTAGGCTGTCCTCGGGGACACCAGGCATGTCGGGGCCCCTTCCAACTTGACTTTGTGAAGGTCTGTTTCCAAAGGCAGCCGTGCTCCGGGTGCTGGGATGCTCCAGCCTGGATACGCTCTGCCTGGGGCGGTGGCCACGGCCACGCCTGCCCTGCTGGCCAGGGCCACGGTGGACCCGGCCCCCTGCCCGCCCCCCGCCTTCCTCAGCCAGCAGCCCCTCCCATGCCTGAGGTCCTCGGCCTCCTTTTCTGTCACAGCCCTTGGCCAGCACCCGGCACCCGGCAGGGGCTGCCCGCAGCCAGGGGTGAAGGGCGGGGCCCAGAGGGTCTGTCCAGCCAGTCTCGAGGGTGGGAGCACAGCCTGCAGCCCAGCAGAGCAGCCTGGCCGGCTGGCCCCGGCCCCGCAAATGAACATTCCGGGGGGGAAAAAAGATGTTTTTAAAGATGCCCGGAGGCGCAGGCGGGACTGCGGCATGTGAGGCGTGTCTTCGGCTGGCCGGCTGGGCTTGGTGGGGGCCGATCCCGAGGGAGGGGCCTTCACGGAGCGGGGACTTGGGAACCCAGTAGGGGCAGCGCCGCCACCGTCCTGCGAGGGTGGCCCAGCACCCACATGTGACTGGCAGCCCAACCGAGGCGAGCTGGTTCCCAGAGCACCTGCCCTCCCGGGGTCGCGTTCTGCCCTTGCCAGAGCCAGGCGCGCCAGCTTCCCATGCGAGGCGAGTGTGGCAGATGCAGGCGACCCACAACGGACACCAGAGCCATGGCGGCCTCCGGGGGACAGCGGGGGTGACTTTCGGAAACCTCGGGCGTGTGCACTGCATAGGCGTGGCCTGTGTCTAACTGGGCTAGGGTCTGTGCGCGCCCCATGCAAGTGGCCAGCAGGGCCCAGATGCTACAGGGGCGGCCGCTGGAACCAGCCCGGCTACTGTGCATTCAGAAATCTCATGTTTGAAACTCCACAGTAACAGGTCTAGGGCCTCCCAGGTGGCCCAGGGGTCAGCCTCAGGCGGTCACTGCTGCGGCCTGAGTTTGATCTCCAGCCAGGGAGCTGCCCTACAGGGAGCAGCAGGCCTCTCCTGTCTCCCCGCTGCTCCCCTCAGCAATGTGTTTCAGTGGATCCACCTGTTCTGCTCCCCACTCCCCATCTCTGGCCTGTACCCCAGTTCTTCTACAAGAGAAAAAATTAAATGTTTAGAGAAAGAAAACAGCAGCGTCTGGCAAAGAGAACCACTTTATGACCCCTCTGTGGGCGCAGTGGGGACACACCAGAGCAGGCCGCACTGGCCCACACCTGGCTCAGGGGTCCTTGCCGTCCAGAGCCCCACCCGGCCCCTGGAATCAGCCCGCAGTCCTCGGAACACGCGTCAGGTGACGAAGGTAACGGTGCAGCTCGCCACAGCGACACCCTGGATGGGCCAAGACGCCAGCCCCGGCCCCCGGCTGGCCCTGCACGGCCCATGGCTGCGAA